GTGTTCTCCAACACAACTCTCACAACGCTTTGCTGAACATACTCGCTCTCCTAACAGGGAGCTTACCTAACAAACATTTTCATACATGAACCCTCGGCAGCCCTTATCATCTCCTGCCTTGCTGTACGGTTGCAACAGTGATCGGTTACAGATAGTCCTCAATTTACGACCACAGTTGGGCCCAAAATTTGTGGTGCAGTGCCCTTGAGGTGGATCTCTCCCCTCACAATCAGCAGGCTGTGAGTTCAATCCAAGGTAGAGGCAGATATTTCTCTCTCTGGGCACATTGAGAATAGATCTGCTGAACAAAACACAGCTCTGGCGACAGGAAGGGCATCCGGCCAGTAAACACTCTGCTCCATTCAGTTTGCCCAGACTCCACCCCACAAGAGATTACGGGGTCTTTAAAAGGAGATGATGATTCTCTCTTTTATGATTCACTCGGCCGTTTTATTTTATTTTTTAATCAAATAAATGTTCTGCCCAGTTCCAGCTCCTACAGACAGAAGATAAATTGCAGAAACCTAAAACCGAGCCAAAGAGATGATGTATGAAATCCAAGCTGCAGACAATCACGAGTCCGTCCATTGTCCTCAGCTGACCCCCTCCATGTTTCTGTGCTGTTTCTTTCAGATCCTTCTCTACAACGTGGAAACGGGGCAGTGCGTAACGCAACTCGGTGGCCCTATGGGTGACTTCACATGCCTCAACCTCCAGGAGAGTCCCCCCCACATGCTGGTCGCTGGAAATAAAGTCAGAAGGTAAAATCTAAGCCAGGGTGGGTTGACTTTGGTGGGCTAACATGGAGGTGGGGGGGGGGCTGTTTAAATTTGGGGCAGGCGTCTCAGGGCCAAAAGGCAGGATGATGACACAGGCAGTGACTCCAAGAATTTGCTTCCTGGTTTAGCACTAGCAATAGCACTTAGACTTATATACCGCTTCACAGTACTTTCCAGCCCTCTCTGAGCGGTTTACAGAGTCAGCCTCTTGACACCCAACAATCTGGGTCCTCCTTTTACCCATCTCGGAAGGATGGAAGGATGAGTCAACCTTGAGCTGGTCAGAATCAAACTCCTGCAAGTCAATAGCAGTTAGACTTATATGCCTGAACCCTTGAGAGACCGCCTACTGCCGATCACCTCCACACGACCCATTAGATCTCATCGTTTAGGCCTCCTCCGAGTTCCATCC